TTGTGAGTTTTTCACGCACGATTATATTGAGCTCGAATAGAAGTATCAATGATGTTCGTAATACACAGAGAATAATCCAGCAGTGGAACTCAGCTAGAGCGACAGTTGATGTCTTCATCTCGATCGTCGTCCTCGTCGTCGTCTTCTGATGCATGCCAGCCTGCCTTGGGAGCGTTCTTACAACAGAAGGGTATAGGGGTAAAGGGGAAGGAGGGGGCAGGGGAAGTGAAGTTGATGGAATTAAGTAAGTTGTTCTAGTGATGGTAACCTATTGCGTACATCGTTATAGGTGAGCAACAACGGGAAGAAGAGGCGAGGAAGGAGAATAGGGAGGTTCTTAGTCGAGGTGAGGACAGGTCTTAGTAATGGTCGTTCATATTTATCATTATTATAAATCATCATAATCAGGGATTCATTCAACTTAGAGAAATAAAGTTACCTAGAGTCTAGTAACAGTCACCGTAAAGTTCCTGATGTGATGATGACATTTACATGGGGAACTGATTGAAGAATGTGTTCCTAGCCATACGTGGACAATTCAAAATGATTTCCCCCGGGAACATTATAGGTTCCTGAATGATTTAGTAGTTATTTACTATCAAAATCAATGGTTGAACTTATTTGTCGATGGATAAAGAAACCGATTTCGAATGGGAGACTCCAACTGAACATAACAGGAGAGCGATGAAATGCCATTAAATCCTATTCTAGTACTGTAGATTCAGTACGTAGAAGGTGATAGAATTATCGGTAAACTCCTATACGGTTTCCCCAGCATTCGAGTGTTCGGAGGCTGTTTATGCGTACTTGGTAGGTTCACTGTTATCACAAATGAACGATTTAACGAATGTAATTCAACCAGGGGTTCGGGGAGCAGTGAAGGACACAAGGGTGCAGTCGAGGGTCGCTAGAGGTAGTTGCTGGATGATATGGATTATGACTGTTTTTGGACGGGTGAATAATTCCGTCTTGGGACATTCTCATAACTGTAGAGGATATAATATATATTTTCTTTAAGGTAGGAGATATTATAGATCAATACGATTCTTATCAATCGAGTCTTCATACGTGGCAATGTTGGAAAAATAGATTTCTCAATATCGTCTACTACACGCTAAATTCAATCATGGAGGCATACGGCTTCAGGGAAGGTCCTTTGGACACATTGGTGAATTCTGATTGAAAAAGTGTAAATAGTAAATAATAGTTTTCTGTTATTCACGTAGAACCTCGTAGGGCACTCACGAGCAGTGTGGGAGGAAAATATGCACATGGTCAACTACATGTGTTGGTGGTGACAATATGAAAAAAATGGGAATTATTGGTTTTTGAACACATCTACCCGACTTCGTATGTAAACTTCTCCCGTGTTCAGCTGAGGAGAGCGAACATATATTCTTCCAACATTTCACAGATACAGACAACAGAAGTAGTCGGAGGAGTGGTAAGTCGCCGTCATTTAAAATGGAGAGGAAATTGAAGGAAGCGAGAACGGTCCCTCTACCGAGTCGTCTTTCACAGCGTCATAAGAAGATCAGGAAGAACGGGTAGTAGCCAGTGTTGAAATATATGCACGTGTTGGTATTCTGAGGGAATTTTGGTAATTTTTGCGATTTTTTGTCGTAAATTTTGATAATTTGGCGAGGAAACTCCCGAGCTTAGGGGAGGAAACCCCAGCCCGTAGATCTCATCACCAGGGTTGGAGTAGGAATATATGATTGCTCCCCTCAGCTGAGATCAGGAGTTTCCACACTAATTATAGAAGTTTATATACCGATCCGGGCAGAAATGTACAGTAATTTCCTCAGAATTCTCCTATTGTCACCAGCACATGTAGTTACTATGTGCATATTCTCCCATATACTTCAATATTGGAAACAGCCGCGAGGGTTGGTCAGATTCCGTTGTGGAGCAGCTGTGACGACAGCTCAAGGCAAGCAGTTGAAGAGGGATCCTTCGGCTGGTCCTGTCTCCGATGTTAAGTTCTGGAAAGGTCGGCTGTACTAGTGCAATGCAGATCTGTATGTTTAGGGTCTTAGATAACCCTGGGGTAGGCCCTGCAGGGTGTTGGGTGGAAATTACGGGATTTGTGAGGGAGATAGCAATGCCAGTGGCTGAGCTCAGTCGCCTGGTGGACCGGTAGGCCTCGTGTGATCGGCTGACTCTGCCATCTGTGACTTGTTAGATTCTTATCTGACGGGAAAGTGACTCTGATGCACCGCAACGGTGACACGGTGAGAGTTTCTGGGCTTTTGGTGACACCAGGATTGGCTCTTTGCAAGATAATGCTCCGAGACGCTTCTCCAGAGGATCTGACTCATTTCACTCGATGG